TTTTTTCAATAAATAGTATGAACTTTTAACTCCATATCAGCGATAAATATGAAATTTTTATTTACCATGATAAAAATGAGAGTAACACTACATGTGGTTCGATTGAAAGCAAGTGATGCACTGATATGTGCCACATTGAATGCACATTTTTTGTGTCCTTTTGTTGCACTTTGCATTATAGTGGCAATTTTTTTTCGAGGCAACGGTTTGCAATTTATGGGTTTTTAAACTTGCAGTACCAGACTTTTTCAAATAATAATCAGCACTAGTTTTGTCATGTTGAACCTCGAAAGTGCCTCTTTTGGAATTTGCTGGAACGTTATTTTGACTTTGAGTCTATTTTGCCTTACTGTTCCTGTTGCCCTTAGACCATTGTTTTTCAAATGTACCATTAAATCTGGACTTGAAAAATAATTATCAAAGTATAAGTGATACTGAGATAATTTTTTGGGAACAACGGAAGTTAGAAGGCTTTGTGTCATTTGCATGACAACACGACTTCCTAAAGGACATTTACTGAGTTTGTCAGCTAAATCAAACGAGTAAAAATTTGATCCTTTACCGCAGTAAATGTCACAGTCAAACAAAAATCCCTCAACACTGCAAATCGCCCACATTTTGATGCCAAATCGAATGGGTTTACCCTTTATAAATTGTTTCATTACAGTGCGTCCATAAAATTTCAACATCATCTCATCCACTGACAAACAAGTAAGGAAGAATCCAAACTGTTTCAGATTTTTCCTAAAAATTTCTAAAGGGACCCGCACTCTCCAAGCTTTGTCTTCCGAATTCTCATCCTCCGACTTCGACATTTTTATTTTAGATTTGACGTCTTCAAATTTAGTTCGAGACATTGCAGAAACTATTGGTTTACAAGCCAGGAGTTCATCAGTACACCAATAGTCCCGTTGTGATTTTCTTTGGTTTAAACTAGACAATATAATTATCCCCACAAAAGCATCAAAATCATCTTTTGAAAGATTGTAACCATTTTGGCGTGTAGCTTCTATTATGTAAGATTTTAATTCTAACGAAAAAAAGAGTTCAAATAATTCTACAAAAGAATACTTACATATTTTATTTTTTTTGTTAGCAGAGTAAATTTTTATTTCCCGGAAGCTCACAATATTTTTTTCACCACTTGACCATTGAAAATTATGGTTCGGTTCCAATTTCGACTGGTTATCCGAATAATTTTTCATGGTCTGATGGAATGAGCTCCTTGCTGTTTCCTCTAATTCCGAACTCTCATCATTTAAACATTCTTCAAAATCCGATTCAATATCCGATTCTCCTGAATCATCTGGATTAGGAATTAACACAGCATCCATGATCTCTTCATCTTCTTTTACTTCAATCTCTTCACTCCTGCGAAACCGTTTCTGCCTTTTTGCACTCGACATTATGCAAATAATTAATCACAAGTCTTTGTGGGAATAATGATCTTGACGATTGGTAAAAACAATTGCCTATCAATGTCTAGAAGTATTATGCTTTCGACCGATATGAATGGAACAAATGAAAAACACACGAAATGAAAGACAACAAATGAAAAAATCGTCAGTTGTCTGATTTTAACTTACGATTTACTATGATTTACTACGATAGACTTTTGTTTGATAGTCATTTGTTTTTTTAAGTGTTATGTTAGATTTTTGTTTGATAGTCATTTGTTTTTTTTAAGTGTTCCCACAAAGACTTGTGATTCATTATTTGCATAATGTCGAGTGCAAAAAGGCAGAAACGGTTTCGCAGGAGTGAAGAGATTGAAGTAGAAGAAGATGAATAGATCATGGATGCTGTGTTAATTCCTAATCCAGATGATTCAGGAGAATCGGATATTGAATCAGATTTTGAAGAATGTTTAAATGATGAGAGTTTGGAATTAGAGGAAACAGCAAGGAGCTCATTCCATCAGACCATGAAAAATTATTCGGATAACCAGTCGAAATTGGAACCGAACCATAATTTTCAATGGTCAAGTGGTTAAAAAAATATTGTGAACTTTTGGAAAATAAAAATTTACTCTCTGCTAACGAAAAAAATAAAATATGTAAGTATTCTTTTGTAGAATTATTTGAACTCTTTTTTTATTTAGAATTAAAATCTTACATAACAGAAGCTACACGCCAAAATAGTTACAATCTTTCAAAAGATGATTTTGATGCTTTTGTGGGGATAATTATATTGTCTAGTTCAAACCAAAGAAAATCACAACGGGACTATTGGTGTACTGATGAACTCCTGGCTTGTAAACAATTTATAAAGGGTAAACCCATTCGATTTGGCATCAAAATGTGGGCGATTTGCAGTGTTGAGGGATTTTTGTTTGACTGTGACATTTACTGCGGTAAAGGATCAAATTTTTACTCTTTTGATTTAGCTGCCAAACTCAGTAAATTTTTCAAGTCCAGATTTAATGGTACATTTAAAAAACGTTGGTCTAAGGGCAACAGGAACAGTAAGGCAAAATAGACTCAAAGTCAAAAATAACGTTTCCGCAAATTCCAAAAGAGGCACTCCTTGTGGTAAGAGCTGGGCAACGTCAATAAAATTTTATTGACGGCTAACGGACGTGCAGCATAAACCGAATCTTATTCTGAACTCAGATTCGTAATCAGCGACCCCAAAAACCCCCGAGTAACCATTTTCAAGCAAATCTAATCACTTTTTAAAAAAATTGTCCGCCATATTGAATCCGCCATTTTAAATTTTGAAAAAGTAACATCAGATTCGTAATCAGCGACCCCAAAAACCCCCGAGCAACCATTTTCAAGCAAATCCAATAACTTTTTTATAAAATTGTCTGCCATATTGGATCCGCCATTTTGAATTTTGAAAAGGTAACAGCAGATTCGTAATCGGCGACCCCAAAAACCCCCTAGTAACCATTTTCAAGCAAATCTAATCACTTTTTTATAAAATTGTCCGCCATATTGGATCCGCCATTTTGAATTTTGAAAAAGTAACAGCAGATTCGTAATCAGCGACCCCAAAAACCCCCGAGTAACCATTTTCAAGCAAATCCAATAACTTTTTTATAAAATTGTCCGCCATATTGGATCCGCCATTTTGAATTTTAAAAAAGGAACAGCAGATTCGTAATCAGCGACCCCAAAAACCCCGAAGTAACTATTTTCAAGCAAATCCAATCACTTTTTTATAAAATTGTCCGCCATATTGGATCCGCCATTTTGAATTTTGAAAAAGTAACAGCAGATTTGTAATCAGCGACCCCAAAAACCCCCGAGTAACCGTTTTCAAGCAAATCTAATCATTTTTGAAAAAAATTTCCCAAAATTTTTTTTTCAGCCTTTTGCATTTTGCAAAAATGGCCATTTTCATATCCGCCATCTTGAATTTGAAAAAATTAATTACTGATTTTTATAGCTGAGGGTTCGAGGACGCGATATTTTGGGCTTTTGAGACCATATTCTTTAGTTTTCCATGTCAAAATATTATTTGAAAAATTTTTTTTTTGTAAAAAACTGTGTTTTTTGCAATAAAATTGTTATAACTTTTTTTGAGATAATTATAAACAATTTATAACATCATATTCTGAAAGAGCGATAAATTTTACGTCTGAAATGGTATTTCCTACATTTTTTAACTAATTATTTCATACAAAATGAGAGTCGTGAAATCAATGTACTTTTTGCGTCCTGTTGGGCTTTAATGGGTTAAGGGATGGAAAAACTGAAAAAAAATTCTTCGTAGATGTGTAGTAAATCAATCAGGTGACTGATAATGTATCATATAAAATAAACAATCAACCATTACAAAACTAGTAATGTAAAAACTTGAACAAATTTTAATAGATTTTCATTCAACTTGGTAAAAAGAAGTTTTTTTTTATTTTGCTGAATAAGAATCTAAAATCGAATTTTTAAATTTCAAAATGGTGGATCCAATATGGCGGATGAACCTTAAAAATAATATTTTTAAAAATTGATTGGATGGGTTGTAGTAAGGGCGATTTTTGGCCCCTTCTCATTTGACCTCAATAATGCGGGAAATTGTTGCTTATTATATGCCTTAATATCCCTGAAAATGATTTTCGAATTGTATGTCACGATTCTAAATTACACTGATTCAAAAAGTCACGATTTACATGGAAATTTCGTCTTTTTTTCCATTTATTTTTTTTTTCACCACTTTAAAAGTCGCGTCCAGTAACTATACTTTGCCAAAAACTTCGTTGGGGTCCTATAAAGAAAATGTTCAATGAACAGCTTGATCCGTCATGGGCATCACGGTCATTTGAAGGTCATACGTGACAACGTGATAATCACGGATATCATTACATGAATGCCAACATTAGAAAAAGTTAAAAAAAACGTATGAAATTCGTTACTTGGGGGTTTTTGAGGGCGCTGAATCTAAATCTGAAGTCAGATTTTAAAAATCCAAAATGGCTGATCCAATATGGCGGCCAAAAAAATTAAAAATTGATTGGATTTGATTCAAACGTGGTACACGGGGGTTTTTAAGGTCGCTGATCACGAATCAAATGTCGGTTTGGTAAAATGCAAAATGGCGGATCCAATATGGCGGACAAAAATACTTAAAAGTTAATAATACAGCACGAAACTAATCCCTAGTGGGTTATTGAGGTCGCTGAATTCAAATCTGATGTCAGATTTTCAAAATTAAAAATTACCTATCCAATATGGCGAACAAAAAATTAAAAATTTGTTTGAACAATAATAATGAATCGCTCTTAGCCGAACCCAGAGACACGATCGAGGACGTGGCGGTATGTCTCCATCTTTTTTTTTAATTTTTTTGATTTTTAATTTTTTTTTTGTTTTTTTTCTATTTTTAATTTTTTTTTGTTTTTTTCTATTTTTTAATTTTTTTTCTATTTTTCAACTTTTTAAAAATAATTTTTTAATAATTTTAATTTTTTAAAACTTTTTTTTTATTTAAAAAATGTTAATGTCATTGTGAATGAACACAAAATCCGTAGATTAAAATAAAAACATTTAAATTAATTTTTATTCCGAATCAATTGCGTTTGTCCAATCGTAATCGTCTTCTTGATCTTCAGAATCTGAAGTTACTGCTGCATCTTTTACGTGGCGGCCGTACATAGAAGCAGAATGTTTATTCAAGTCTGAAAGATCGAGGTGTCGGTAGTAACCCAAATACCAAAGGACAGATGCAATGTGGGCACAGCAGCCAACAGTCCTAGCTCCAGTTTTGCACTGGCAATACCACTCTTCGACAAAATTTCGTGTTTCGTGGATTTGTATCCACAAGCAATACTGCTTACTGGATGTGTGCCTTGATTGAATTTTTATACGAAGGATGTTTGATACTTCGCGGTGTACATGAAGTTCATATAAACCGTCATCCGCTAAATGCTCTTCTGTATATGATTTAGCTTGTTTCAACTGATAGCATCCAAGTGTAATTTCTCGCAAATCATTCAGAGTAAGTACAGGAAAATCAACAGCACTGTTGATTTCTAATGGTAGCCAGCAAACTCTCTTCCTTGCCCAACCCTCAGCTTTAACTCTCTGCTGAAGCATATTAGGCTTTGAGACAAGACGCAACATTTTTTGAGCGGTTAGAATATCATCCGGATTACTAGTGATTCTTGGCGGTCTAAAAGCATTGCAAATTGCACATATAATTCTTACGTACTGACCAATGTACGGCACTTGACTGTTTGGAAAAGTTTGATCGAATGCTTTCCATTTTTTTATCAAACCATTTACTGCTTCTACTACCCAACGAATCTTAGTAACCAGTCGAGATTCATTTGCTTGATCCCATGTATGTTGAGAGCCTTCTTTTAGAAAATTCGGCATTTTCGATATTAAGTCAAAAGTCTCTAATAATTGCAGACAATCTCGAAATCCTCTATCAAGTACAAAGACATCTTCAGAGCTAAGCCAGTTGCGGAGTGCACTAGAATCTTTTTTCATTAAAGCTGACAAAATGTTTGCATCATTATTTTTGCCATCGGCAAAGTAAGGGCCAAATACATCAACGATGTAACCTGTCGTAGAAACAATCATCATAGGTTTTAATAAGGGCCTTCCCTTGTGAACAGAGTACGAACGTTTCTGGAAATTGTAGTTAGCACTTTTTTGAATGAATATATATGTTCCATCTGCAACTAAAATACACGGTTTTCCTTCACATCCAAATAAAGTATCTGCCATAGAAGTTGTGTGATTTTCAATTACAGACTCGCGATTGATGTGATTAAGACCCAAGTGTTTCGGTACAAAGGATTCCATGAGTGCATCTCGAGCTTTCGTAATAGCTCGAGAAACACGACTTTTTTCTAAACAAAACAAAGTCGACAATACTGAAATGGAAAGTCCCGTTCTTAATTTTGTCAAAAGTAGTGCTAAGCAAGTGCGGTATGATCTTCCACTAGTTGTTCTTACAGAGTCTTTTACACATTCGGCCAAAATGTCAAAGTCCTTTTTGTACACTCCTGTCAGTCGGTAATAATCTTTGTCTTGTAAAGCATTTGGGTCGTCAAAATTAATTCCTTTTCGTGTTATTTTCTGACGCAAATTATTTAACAAATTAAGTAATGCTTTGTCGTCTACAATAGAAGGATCAGAAATACTTATAATAGCTGCTATAGCTTCCCGCGTTAACCAACCGTTCTCTATGTGAATGAAACAACATCTTGAACCTGTAGGTATAAAAAGTGCTCTTTCTATAAATACTTGGCATTGAACTGCAGCAGAAATTCTAACCATGTTGTTGGAATTTTTGCAAACAATGCAATTGGTGTGTGAATTGTGACATCTTTCAACTTTTAGTTCGATTTTTTTAACACTCGTTTCCTCATCATTTTTAAAATTAACCTCACCTAACGGATTAATAGAAGAGTCTTTAGGATGGCCAACTGATGTCGCATTCTCTGAAGGATTTGATTTCAATTTATTAGAATTTCTTCTTACTTGCATTCTACAAGCTCCGCATATATTTTGTACATCTGTATTAACTGAGTACATTCTCTTTAAATAATCTGCGGTTGTACTATCAGTGATACATCGAACATCGTACTTACTTTTCTCTTGTTTGCCACAAGCATCACAACGTAAGTGTTTAGGCATGATATTAAATCTTTTGGTTTCAAACGCTGTTACAAAAATATTTGTAAACCTACTCAAAAAACAAAACCTATTGATGAAAAAATAAAAAACATTTGAAAAAGTTAAAAGTCAAAGCAAAACAAGTGATAAACTATTATGTGCGTTTTTCATTTGTTTTCTGTCAACTGATGAAACTAATCCTTCTCATTTGTTTTTTACCTGATTTTTTTGAATTATTAAGGCTATGTCCAAGTTGTGAAATGTAAACAAACCAAAAGGTCACTACATCAGCACTAAAAACGCAATTTTGTGACATCCAATTCTCCCACAAAAAATAACATTTTTACACTTTCTTTACGAAAATGGAAAATTAGAGTATCAAAGTTTCCAAAAAAATCATTTTTGACTATGAGCAATAAAAAGCAATTAGTAAAATAACTAATTAAAATGACCTGTAAAACAGCATTTTTGACGCGTCGCGAAAAATAAATTGTTTGAGTATATCAACCGCACTGACGATGAAGAAGTTCCATGTCAGCGATTGGACCTTCAACATGTGGAAAGGGAAATTTTTCCCTTTCCTCCTTAAAATTACAAGAGAAAGGGTAAAAACTTCTTCATCGTCCGTGCGGTTGATATAGTCAAACACTTTAATTTTTCGCGACGTGAACTCTGCTGCTCGCTGCGCGTGCGCAGACCGTACCAAGGTCGCAATGACATCACCATGCAAAAAGGCACATTTTCTTTTTGACTGAAACTCAGTGGTTTTCTCATTTTTTCAGTTATTCAAAGTTTAGTAACCAAATTCGATACGTTAGTTCACCATTTCTATAAAGAAAATGTGAATTTATATTTATTTACGCAAATGGGAACGGCGAAAAAATGGTTTACTATTCGGTCTATAATGGAGCATTTTTTCGCTGTTCCCATTTGCGTAAATAAATATAAATTCACATTTTCTTTATGGAAATGGTGAACTAAAGTAACGAATTTGGTTACTAAACTTTGAATAACTGAAAAAATGAGAAAACCACTGAGATTCAGTCAAAAAAAAAGTGCCTTTTTGCATGGCAATGTCATTGCGACCTTGGTACGGTCTGCGCACGCGCAGCGAGCAACAGAGTTCACGTCGCGAAAAATTAAACTGTTTTACTATATCAACCGCACGGACGATGAAGAAGTTTTTACCCTTTCTCTTGTAATTTCAAAGGGAAAAATTTCCCTTTCCACATGTTGAAGGTCCAATCGCTGACATGGAACTTCTTCATCATCCGTGCGGTTGATATACTCAAACAGTTTATTTTTCGCGATGCGTCAAAAATGCCATTTTACAGGTCATTATAATTAGTTATTTTACTAATTGCTTTTTATTGCTTATATTCAAAAATGATTTTTTTGGAAACTTTGATACTCTAATTTTCCATTTTCGTAAAGAAAGTGTAAAAATGTTATTTTTTGTGGGAGAATTGGCTGTCGCAAAATTGCGTTTTTAGTGCTGGTGTAGTAACCTTTTGGTTTGTTTACATTTCACAACTTGGACATAGCCTTAAGACGTTTCGATCTTCAGCAATAAAAATGTGCTAAAAATTATTTTATATAGTTGCAGATTTTAAAAAATTACTAGTTAATACAAATGTATGCGAAAAATATGCATAGTTTGTTAAGATTTAATGAGCAATTCAGGAAAATTAAAAACAGAAGGCCAAAAATAAAGGGTGAGGCAAACAAAATACTTTTCTTCCACTACACTGGTAGGAAATGGTATACTTTTTGTGCGTGTTCTGGAAAAATTATTTATTGAGATTTAACTGTACGTCCGCATTTTGTTACTATGTAAAGAGTGATTAAGGAAGACTCTGAGATCATAAATAATAATATAATAATAATAATAATAATAATAATAATAAATAATATATATATATATATATATATATATATATATATATATATATATATATATATATATATATATATATTTAATATTTAATATTTAAAAGATTATATTAGAGCCACTAGTGACAGTTCTTATTGACAACTTACTAGAGTATTAAAAGTGGGTCTTTTTGATTCGCATTCAAATATTTCTTTTGTTGAGAAAAATACAAAGATACATTACTTAATCGCAAAAAGCAATAAACTTTTGCGATATTTATGATTAAAAACATGACAATTAACATTTTAATAATAATCTTTACTGTATTTGCAAAGATTAGGTTATGGTTGTTTCTGCGACAGATTACATAATTAAAAAATTTTATCGAAAAATCTCCAATCATTAAAACTAAAGCATGTCCTATCAATTTTTAATTTTTTGTTCGCCATATTGGATAGGTAATTTTTAATTTTGAAAATCTGACATCAGATTTGAATTCAGCGACCTCAATAACCCACTAGGGATTAGTTTCGTGCTGTATTATTAACTTTTAAGTATTTTTGTCCGCCATATTGGATCCGCCATTTTGCATTTTACCAAACCGACATTTGATTCGTGATCAGCGACCTTAAAAACCCCCGTGTACCACGTTTGAATCAAATCCAATCAATTTTTAATTTTTTTTGGCCGCCATATTGGATCAGCCATTTTGGATTTTTAAAATCTGACTTCAGATTTAGATTCAGCGCCCTCAAAAACCCCCGAGTAACGAATTTCATACGTTTTTTTAACTTTTTCTAATGTTGGCATTCATGTAATGATATCCGTCATTATCACGTTGTCACGTATGACCTTCAAATGACCGTGATGCCCATGACGGATCAAGCTGTTCATTGAACATTTTCTTTATAGGACCCCAACGAAATTTTTGGCAAAGTATAGTTACTGGACGCGACTTTTAAAGTGGTGAAAAAAAAATAAATGGAAAAAAAGACGAAATTTCCATGTAAATCGTGACTTTTTGAATCAGTGTAATTTAGAATCGTGACATACAATTCGAAAATCATTTTCAGGGATATTAAGGCATATAATAAGCAACAATTTCCCGCATTATTGAGGTCAAATGAGAAGGGGCCAAAAATCGCCCTTACTGCAACCCATCCTTTGCTTGAATCTGGCTACTCGGGGGTTTATGAGCCTAATTTTTGTTAGGGCATTAATAAGGAAGAATTACTTATTTTTGTTTGATTTTTTAATTTATTTTTATGCAAATGCGAGACAAAATACTGAAACAGTAAAATTTTGATTTTCAATCTTTTTGCATTAAAAGATAACTTACACTATGGCATTGCCAATTGTCAAAATAAAATATTGGCAATACTCAGAACATCTTGTAGGTGAGCTGAGATAAAAATATTGACGTCGTACTTATTTTTAAATTTGTAAATTCAGCTGAAACATCTACTGTTTACATTTACCCCAAATGACCCTATATTAATAAAGTTTAACTAAATTTTTTTTTGATTTTTAATTTTGCATAAAAACGTTTTTTGCCCATAACTTTAAAAAAATGTTAAGACACCTATAAATGTTTTTCCATAATTTTTGTAGAGTTTTTTTTAGACGCATCTTTTGAGCCCGAATTGAACATTTTTCGTCCATATTAACCAGAGTTATTAAACTTTTAAAAATCACCAATTTTGGAAAATAAGACTTTTTTGAAAATTTTGTTGAAAAACGTAGAAGTAACTTTAAAATTATCGTTATCAACTTGTCGAGCATTAAAAATCGCTTCGATTGACCAATTTTTGAACCTAATTCGATAATAAAAAATTTCGAAATTATTGGTATTTTAAAAACCAAAAATTGTGAAAAATGACATTTTCTCAACTTTTTTGTTTGAAAATTTTTATTTAACTGTTAAATTATTGTAACTATCTTGTAGGGTATTAAAAAATACATTGATTGACTCATAATCCAATCACTTTTACCATATTTATAAAAAGTTATTCATATATTTCTATTATTTTTATCGCCATGAGGAAGTAAAGTGTTCATGAAATGAGCACCAAAATTATAAAAAAATATACAACTTGGCAGCGGTTTTTTTTACTTTTTTTAAAATGGGAACCCAGATTGGCCCTTGGAAAAATTTCCACACGGCATATTATTTAAATATTAATGTAAGTAATTAACTATAATTTATCTTTTTTTATTTACCTATAACAAAAAATCTAATTAAATTTCAGTTTGAGAATTCTTTGGGAAAGCCGACTTGAATTAGGAATACTCGCATTTGTCTTGACATTCGGCCAGGGGAAAAGAAAACTGCAGAAAAACAACACCCAAGTACAACCGGTTTATTGACGTCGAGTCATGAATGTACATCTGGATAGCCATCATAAATGCACAAACATAGCCTCGACGTCAAACCTCCCGTTTGATATATCTCGATCAGCAATAAACACCGAGACTGTAGCGATTCACAGAGGGTCGTCCATCCAAGTCACGGGATTCCGCCAACCGAGCTATACCATCGGTCTTATTTGTACAGTATATTATTTGAATAATAATTAAATTAACTAAATTATTTAATTTTTTCATTTTACAAATTTTTGGAAGCCAACACGAAAAGAAAGTTATTAAATTTTATAATTAAGTATTTTACAAGTAGAGGACAAAATACGACAAAGGTAAATTGTGATATCCGAAGTACTCAGCTTTAAAAACAGTATAATTATGGTATTTAGTAAAGTTATATAAAAAATTACTTTGATGCATTAATTGGTAAGTATTTAGATATTTTCAAATAAGCACGATTTTATTCAGAACACTGAGAAAAATAGAGTGAAAAACTGGGAGTCAATATTGAAAAAACTGGACTCAGTCCAGTAAAAGTACATTAATTCATTTCCATCAAGCATCTTAGGGTGTTGCGTATAGTGTATAGAGGGCCTTAGTTCCAAATGTCACTGTAAAGAGCATTGAAATACAGGCGAAGATTATAAGGCGCGCTGCAGTGTGCATAATAGAGAAACTGGACTCAGTCCCCTACTTCGAAATTTTCACAATGAGGGAACGCAGGCGCGGAACCTATCAAAATAAATGGCCGACGCGACGCGAAACGAGTGTTTCCTTTTATTCACTT